ATGTTACAGATTTTTATATAATTAGAAAATTTTTAAAACTTTTATTTAAATCTATAACTAATCTATAAAAATTTTTGAAACTAAATTTATACCAATCACTATTTGTTTTCTTATTTAATAAACAATTGTTTTTTAAAACTCTTGGAATTATGATAGATTTTTAGCATTTATTAATTTCTTTCCATAGTTGTGATATTGACCAATTAGGATATAAGATCAAATGTAATATAATTTTTTTTTTAATATTAATGATGAAGCCATGCCTCTAATTTTATTGAATATTTAATTAAAATTATAACATAAAGCATTAATTTACTTTTAAAATATTATAAAAAAAATAAAAGTTCAGACTAGTTTATTTGCAGCCTAAACTAACTGAAGTGGCCATAGCTCATCTAGATTTAAGTATTAATAATAATGTAGGATAGATTAGTTTGATATTTAATCTATTATATATATCAAAAATTTATTTTAAAACAGATATAATATGATAATCAAAACAACAATTGTTTTTTTTTAAAAAATTATACTTATCACAAAACTTCCCTAAAAATTCATCTTTTATACACTAACAAAAAAAATTTTTGCAAAACTTTAGTATAATGTTATCTACTAACTCTAACTCCACTAAGATATTACATTTTATTTAGAAAGTAATATGTAAATTAGTATAAATAATTCTAACCAATCACAATTGTGGAGGAAATTTAGTAAATGCGAATTCTTAGACTACATAATCATAAAACAATTTATATTAAAATAATTCAAAGGTTCATTATTAAAATTTTTTTTTAAAAAAATAAAAATACTTTATAAATTGATTTTAACTAATAGTATATCAATTTTTATATTTAGAAATAGCTAAAGCTATGTATCTATATAATTTTGATATTTTAATTATTTAAATTAAATTAAGGTTAAAATTAGGTTTAGTTTGGTATTGATATAAAAAAAAAGATATAGGTAAAATTGCCTTCTTAACATTTTCACAATTTCAGTTAGTTGATTTACACTACTTCAACAACACTCCAAAAATTTTGTAATAATAAAACTCTTAAAAGGTTGTTAATACTGTAGTTAGTGATTATATTAATATTTGTTATTGTTGTCATATATAGTGAAAATCTATATAGAAAACCATTTTTAATGTTCTAACAAAAAGTTTTTCTTGAATGATTTTGAATTATAGATGATTATTAGCAAAAAGAACAGTTGTTTTTAATTTTTTGAATTGAATTATATTACATCAGATCTTTAACTATAATTGGTTTATGATCACGTTTTGCAGAAATTTCAGTATATTGTTGAGGTAGTTGGCTTTAGACAACCTCTATATTTGGAGGTTATCTAAAGTGAAGGCACATCATGTGATCTACAGCCAATAAAATTACAGAATTTTGATGATCGCCCAAAAAATGACAGTTTAAACCTACTTAAGGTAGGTTAATTAAAAATATCGAGAAGGCAATTTTGTTTATATTTATCTACTAAAACCTAGCCTAACTCCAATATAGAAGACTTTAACCCTAAAGTTAATCGAAAAATTATTAAATATAAGTTGCCTCTACTTTAGATGTTCCCTATATTTGGTAATATCCAAGACTGCAATTATCTGTTATAATTATTAAGAGCATCACCAAAAATTATTAATAACATAACCAAAAATATGATATAAACCAATCATATTTTAAGATCAGGTGTAATGTAATGCTAATGTAATATAATCAGAAAAATGTTCGTTTTGTCAAAAATTGGCTATAACTCAAAAGTTTGTATAAGAAACCACCTTTAGTGCTCTAACAAAATGTTTTCTTTGGGCAATTTTACAATATTATATTTTTTGTTAATCTTAAACCCTAATATAAGCTCTAAACAGATATAAAAACTTTTATTGCTTTTTACATTATCAATAATTTTTGGTAATGCTCTTGGGGTAGTTATCTGTTATACAAAAGTGCCCATTTATAATCATAAAAGAAAATAGCATTTTTATTACTATACTAAAAAATAAAATAAAACGTATACTAATTCGTATTTAAAAAAAAAATAAAATAAAATAAACTATATATATAGCATATAGATCAACAAATTTTCCTTTGCTACATTCTTTAATATCACGGATCATAATTTAAAATAAAATCTATATTTTCTACTCAATCTGTTAACCTTCTAAAACCCACTTATTCTTGTTTATTATAACTTTACTTTAAAACTAACCTCTTATTCTAACTCCCATCCCTAAAAAAATACACCAAAAAATTTTATTTTTTGAGAATTTATATTATAATTTCATTTTGATCTGGATTTTATTATAATCTGCCACAATTATTAACACTGTTACATATAAGTTTGCTCTTTTGTTTATTCTATTCAGAATGATTTTGTAATATGTAATACAAGATATATATAAATTTTTTTTATGAGTTTCTGTAATGACTCTGCCTATATATCATCAAAATATTTTATATTTACTCTATTTTGACAAGATTTACTTGAAAAAATCCTTGCATTTTTTAAAAATACTATTACTATTAATTGTAAACGTAATCATATTTATAATGATAATAGTAAAAAACCCATTTTCATACTCCAAATTTAATATTTATACCCTGCAGATTTAACTTTTTTTTAAAAGTTTGAACGAAAATATCTCAGTAATTATATTAAGCCAAATTTGATAAACTTTTTTTCTTTAAATTCTATAGATTTATAGAATTCAAATAAAAAAAGGTTATTGAATTTGACCCAGTAGTCACTGAGATATTCTTGCTCTAAGTTTGAAAAAAATCAAAATATCTATCAAAACAAAACTGCAAAGCAAAGATATCTTAGCAACTACCAAGTCAAATTTGATGAACTTTTTTTTGTTTGAATTCTATGAATCTGTAGAATTTAAATAAAAAAAAGTTTAATAAAATTGACTTAGTGATTGCTGAGATATCTTTGCTTAAAGTTTTAAAAAAATCCAAAACATCTATCAAAACAAGCAGTACCACAATTTTTTTCAAACTTTGAACAAAAATATCTTAACAACCACCAAGCTAAATTCAATGAACTTTTTTGTTTAAATTTTATAAATTTATAGAATTTAAACAAAAAAAAATTCATCAAATTTGGCTTGGTAGTTGTTAAGATATTTTTGCTCAAAGTTTGAAAAAAATTGTAACACAGCTTCTGTTTTGATAACATTTTAAATTTTTTTTAAAACTTTGAGCAAAGATATCTCGACAACCACCAAGTCAATTTCATTAAACTTTTTTTTATTTGAATTCTACAGATTCATAAAATTCAAACAAAAAAAAGTTCATCAAATTTGACTTGATAGTTGCTGAGATATCTTTACTCAAAGTTTAAAGAAAATTTTGCATAGTTTTGTTTTAATAGACGTTTTGATTTTTTTCAAACTTTGAGCAAGAATATCTCAGTGACTACTGGGCCAAATTCAATGAACTTTTTTTTATTTGAATTCTATGAATCTATAGAATTCAAAGAAAAAAAAGTTTATCAAATTTGGCTTGATAATTACTGAGATATCTTCGCTCGAAGTTTTAAAAAAAGTTAAATCTGCAGTGGGTATAAATATTAAATTTGGGTGGGTATGAAAATTGGGTCCCTAATAGTAATAGTAGCGAGAATAGCATGTTAGCAACATTTTCCTTGTAAAAATTATCAATTAAGCATTAAATAATAATAAAATTTACCTTTTTAAGCTTGCCGTCCTATGTTTATTACTTATTGTGGCAGCTGAAGCTGAGGTTTTGAAATATTTTAATATTAAATTTAAAAAATTTTTGGGGCATTTTTTGTCTGCTTTTTTTTTAGAGTTAGGTTAGGGTTTAGGGATAACTTTATTATAAAAGAATACAAGTGAATTTTAGTAAATATTATTGATTTAAATAGAGACCCCCAATCTCAGCTTCAACCGTCACAATAATTATGGATTATACTCAGAAAAGTGGGTGTACAGAAATATAAAAATTATTAAATAAACGAAAATCACAAAGGAAACACTAGAAACTTAGGTAAGATTCCCAAGTTTCTCTTGCCACCACTTAAATATACATGACATAATTGTTAAATATGCCGCGCCTTACTCCGCTACGCATTTATTTACCGTAAAATAAATTTTACCTCAGGCTCGCTTTTCAGTATTTCATCCAATTCTCGGACACTATATCCTTTAAGTGTGCATATCTCATCATAATGATGTTTACCATCGAGTAATCTGGTTAACGTGACATAATTATTGAATATATGTGGATTAATATCTTGCAAAAAAATAAAATTATGTAAAATTGATACATACCTGCACAGTTGTTTTGGTAACGAAGTTTGTTGCCTGCTAGGTTCAGGAAGAATAGGATATTTATGAACACGATATAAAAATCCTTTAATTATGCCAAAAGATATGAATCGTCTTATTCAGAATGCATAAATATCTATGTTAATATCCTTGAATTCCATAGTAAGACCAGTGTGAAAAACCAATTTTACCGAATGTCAATATTTAACGATGTAACTTCTTTATTTTCTTGAATCCATTCTTTAAGAGTTAACCCATGCTTCAATTGGCAGTAAAGTGAAAACAATTTGGCAAATGATGGCGGTATTTTGTCTACAAAATCAATAATCGTAAAAATGCTCAGAATAGATTACTTAAAAATTTTTTAAACCTCTTACCTCGCTTTCTCACATAAGACAAACATTCACTCTGAACTGCTTCGTCTTCTATTATTCTAGTAATATCAGGCTTCACGGCATACACATTCGAAAACTGAAAGTATCATAAAGAAAATTAGAAATTTTATTTCCACCCTTCATACCTGTCTTGTATATATATTTAATCACCTGAAAAATATCAACCATAATAATGCATCCATAGTATCTATAAAAAAATAATACAATTTATAATTATGTATATATATATATATAGATATATTTAATTCGAATCTGCCCAAGAATAAACACCATTTTACAAGATATATAGGGAATGTGGTAACCTACAAAAGATGTTCCATGCACTTTCGAGCCAATCCATAATCAACGTCGGCCAATTCGGCAATCTTTTTAACATGATGAATGCCATTTATGGATTTCGCCACCTTAGAAAAACGCATAAAGATTAAATTTTAAATCAATTTAACTAAGATCACGAAATAATATAAGATATTTGTCAACCTTTTCCATTGTGATATCCCAATTGCCATCCATTAACGCCTTAAGGTTAACAGTGCAAATGGGAACTTGATAATCGTATACTGGTGGTGGATTTCGATATGTTGGAAATAACTTCAAATTTATAGTATTTGCTGAATCTGATTGACATAGAAATTAATCCAGCTTCTCACTTATAATGTGGGCTGCCGTCAATAGAAATAAGGCAAATTAACATTTTAAAAAATTTAAAGCCTTAACTTTCACAGCTCATATCTCGATGAGGTTTAAAACTATCTTAATAAATTTATATTCAAAATAAATCTTAAGATCTAAGCTTTCATTTGAATATAAATTTATTAAAATTCATCGAGATATGAGAAGTGAAAGTTGAGGCTTTAAATTTTTTTAAAATATCAATTTGCCTTATTTCTATTGACGGCAGCCCATGTTATCATAAGCAACTTACTAATGGGTATTTGACATTCGCAATAACTGTTAAGATCTTCGAAAAGCTGTTCGATTATGTTGTACATAAAGGACTTTGTGGATTCATTTGATAAAAACGCGCTTTCGATCTATTAAAAATAATTATTGTTATATGAAACAATTATAGCATTTAGATTGTTTTATAGACGGACCTCTAGTGAAGTTAATACCCTAGCAACTTTTCTCACAACAGGTTCATAGCTTGAAGTGTCAGCACCGCGATCAAAGACAAAACTCAAGTTAAACATGAAATTATTCCTAGGGTAGCGGTTTCCCCATATTCCAACTGGATATCCCATGACTTGATAAGAATTCGCACAAATATTTACCAAATGGCCGCATAATGGTGGTGTTGGAACGATGTATTTGGAAATTGAATGAAAGTCAATTATGGGCGTTGACGAAGCTGTAGGTTTAATGGTGCCTTCTGGTACTTCAGAAGCTATTTTAGGTTTAATGGAACCTTCTGGTACTTCAAAAACTACTTTAGGTCCTATATCCGGATCGAACACCGAATAAAATACAGATACAAGGCGTGGTGGTATACCAGCTTGGAATTCACTTTCCTGTTGAGCATAATCCATAATCTTGAACTCGTGGATACTGTGCGTTAGTGTTGGTAAATGACCGGATATGACCTAAATGACTAAGTGACCAAGTCACAAATCATATGGTCATTTTAGTCATATTAAATTTATGTGACCTGATATGACCTATATATATAGTTAAT